CCTTGGGGAAGGGGGGGGGGGGGGGGATGGTAGGGGGAAAACAATGGAGGGGGTAACAATGTTCAAGAGAAAGTGTACTCATTACCTCACTCATGTAACTGTAACCCTCTGTATAGTATCTTTACAATAAAAAAAAAGCTCATTAAAAAAATTGTTATTGTAAAGGGATATCCAGAGGGGTTTACACAAGTCAGGTAATGAGTACATTTTAACAAAGGGTTTTTGAATGAGCTAACCAGAACTTCATCTGGTCCCGTAAGGATAAGAGCTATTTATTCTCATTTTGCAGATGAGGAAACTGAGTGATTATATGACTCCTTCAGAGTCACAAAGCTGGTGGATGGACAAGCCAAGGGCTCCTGATTCTGATGCCCTTCTTACTAGTATCACCCATTAGCCATTTTCCTCTTGGCCCTGACAGAAGTGAAAGCCATCCTGGAAATGAAAAGATACTGCCAGTTAGGCAAGATGAAATAGGGTCTTTCCAAGACATGTCACCCCAAATTTAATTTTCAAGTCTATTCCCCCTCTCTTGCCCAGTATACAGAATGACATGCTTACGTCATGCTAAGCCCCTGAAAAAATTTTGTCCCTAGCTTGCACCATTATAATGCAGAGTTCAGGGAACTGTTAATCAAAAGTACCACACTGTTTATCAGTCAGTCTTTTCTGTCAGTCTAATTCTACCACCATTATCACATGACACATCACAGGCTCTGAATGCTTTCCTCCCACAGGTGCCTCATAAGAGGAAGGCTTCAAGGATGTAGCTGTCAGCATCATTATTCTATAAAGTGCCATGAAGATCACTTTAATTACTGCAGCGAGAGCTACCTGTTACCAATGACAGCCAGGCAACAGTGTTCAGCTCTCAGAACTAAATACAATTTCCAATGATGAGTGATGACTTTGCCTGTCCTTGTGTATGGAGTAACCAAAATAATGTACCCACAAAACCAAAGACTGAGAGCAACAGAGACCCAGTTTTACTTTTGCAGGTAATTAGCTACCTCTTAAGTGTATGTCCAACAAATGGCCCCATCCCTCTTTCATATTCAATGATTTCCCAGCTTTTTTCCTAATAGAGACAGGGAAGAAAGAGCTGTTGTGAGCAGACAGCCTGAAGTTGGAGCAGTGAGCCACAGTAGTTGGTGGGGTCAGATGGGAATTATCTTGTTGCTGGCACCAATTCTTTACATTGTGTTCTTTACATTCTGTGACACCAGGAAGGGCTCTAGAGGCTTCTAACTCCATGGAAATCTGACTTTCAGGCTGCCAGCACTCACAGCCATCTGAACATACACTTCTTGTATTCCTACTTGAAGCCCTTCAGAAGCAAATGCTAGATATAGCTGGATTACTGGGCAATTCTGCCTTGGGAAGAAGCTGTGGCCTTTCTGCAGAGAGCTCAGGAACACAAGGTAGTTCTGTTGTCACAGCTATGCTTTCTCAGGGATTCTAGGCTGGGCCGACCTATGGTCTGAGTTCACAATCTTCCCCTTCCCACTGTCTACTCTGGCCTCACCCCATTTTCCAAGGACAAACCAGGATTGTGTGATGAAGGGGAACTCTGAGAGTGAAGGAGCCAGCTGCTGGCCAGCCCAGTGCTCAGGCAGCCTGTTGGCCTCTTCTCCACTGAATGAAGCCTACGTTTACTACCAGGACTCATGTGACACATGGGGCTACCACATGGGGAGGCCCCAGTAGTGACACCAGCAGACTTTTAGCAGCTGTTGAAAGAAGTCTGGGGTAAAGCATTCAATGTGTGGGTGGAGAGAACAGCTGAGTGACCCCAGTCCAGCAACTCACCAATGTACTCATCCTGGTCCACAAACCCATCCCCGTTCTTGTCAATGTCCTCCAGGGTTTCCTAGGAAACAGGGCAAGATTGCTCTAAATGAATCTGAGAATTGTATGTTGTCTTCTCTGGTTCATAGTTTATGACAAAATGCTTGGCAACTTTTGGCTCATTCCTTTACCTCCCCAGACATTTTATCAGAGAGGGCCGATCAAACCATAAATGGAAGGGATATAAGGAGCTGTCCAAAAGATACATCTGGCTGGGATCATCGATAGTGGAGTTGTAGAGTAAAAAACAGACTTTATGCTAAATGGTTTCTGTTGGGGGCTATTTATTACAGCAGCAAGTTTGTTCTGACTAGCTTCTTGGGTAGACAGGCATTAAACCTATTGGATTTCACAGTCTTTCTTTAATTCCTTTCAAGCTTAAAAAAACAAGCAAACAAATCTCTTGGAAGAAGAAACAAAATATAGCTTTCTACCTAGATTTTTCCCAGTCCAGGGTCTTTATTGGTCTTACCAAAACCACAATTTCTTTCATATGCTCAAACTCCTCAGGGTGCAGAAAGGCAGTGAACTCCTCTCGTGTCATTATCAGGTCTCCATCAAGGTCTGCTGCCTTGAATCTTCTCTCATCACGGGGCAGCATCTTTTTGAAGGTGTGATGATCGGAACTATCTTGGAACTCAGTGGGATTGCCTACAGGATAGATGGAGAAATACTTAAACTGTGCTACTAAGGAAGGTCTTTCCTTCCAGATCACTAATCCTTCACATCCAAACTGTACACATCAGACTAAAGATCCTGACATAGTGAGTTCTTTAAAAGATCCTATTTAGATCAGCTCTAGTATCTCCAAGTCATCCCATAATCAAGGGCCTAATACATGTTTAGAAGCTTGATAGCTAATCGTTAAGGTGGTTTATTCCATACAAAATCAAAATTCCATTGTCATCATATCCTTCTTTGATCCATAACATACACAGGATCCCTAGTTCCCAATACATCTTGCCTAAATACTTGTCTGGATTTCAAGGTTCTCTCTGACTCTGTGTGTGCATCTTGGTTCTCCTTAGGCCTGTTTCCTTACTGCCTTTATCAGGCCCCATTCATAGGTTTGTACTCCAGTCTTTGCCTATACTCGTTCCTCATTTCCCCAACCTACTGTGTCTTACTTTCAAACAGTACAGTGCTATATCTCTTCCCCCTCCAACTCCTGCACTTTACCCACCATTCTCTATCTCTCTGAGGTCCAAGAGGCTGCCTTCCCTGAGTGCTCCAGAATATTTAATCCTTACTTCCTAAATTTGAGTAGCAATTTGAACTTGTATTACAGAGACACTGCCTTTCTGTGAGCCTCTGAGATTAAGTTCAAGTAGGACAATGGCCTATTAGTGTCTCATACCTTCCCAACATGAATGACTTCACTTGAAGTACGCAGCTCAGTATATCCTCAATAAGCAGAGAAGGATAGATTCTACAATAGGTTCTACCTCAGAGTTGTGTCATCTGACCCAAGGCCACAATGAGAGAGAAATGGGTCTCCTGCAAGAAGCTTGTTACCTAAGTCCCACCTGTAGAACTGCTTCTGTAGCACCTCTTACCTAGGTAGTAGCCATAGGTGGCTTGTTTGTATTCTTCCCAGGAAATTTTGTCGTCTTTGTCCCTATCATAATCCTTCCAGACTTTAGCGACGTTATCATAGATGTATCTTTTCTGCACCCGTTTGATCCAAACTTTCAGCTCCTCACTAGTGACAAAGCCATCCCCATCACTGTCAATTCGATCCACGATCTTCCTGTAGTTAAAAAACAAAACCCACAAGGCTATTATCAAGGCTTGTGTGATCTTGCTCTAGCAAAAGATCAGACCCTTGCATAATCTAATGCATAAATTGCAACAGAATCAATGATAGATGGTACTGGGAAGGCTATTAAAGTTTATCTTTTTCGAAGATAATATGTCTTTCCCACATTGCCAAATAGTGCCAATGGCAGACTTTGCTAATGGATCATGTTCCTCCATCCTGATAAATCTAGATATGACCCTAGAATTCTCAGCTCAGTGCTCTGATACTGTGTTGACCTAGAAGATGAAACCTATTAGTGTTTCCTAATGTAGGCTAACTCCTAGACAAATGAAAACTGAGACCCAGAGAAATGGGATGACCTTTCTAAGATCACATAGCTAATATTTAGTACAAACTGGAGTTGTATATTTTTTATAGCTCAACTCCAATGCAAAAAATAGGAAATTACACATAAACTAAGACAAGTAAGTCATTTGTTTTTTTTCTTTAATTCCACCATATTGGGTCACAGACTTAAAACTCAAAGCAGGAAATCAGATCTTGTTGGACAAAGTGTAAAGTGCCCATAGGATGAAAGAACCTGTAGATCATGGAAGCCAATCCAGAAATTTAACCAAATGAGCAACTGCAGGACCCCTGTACTAAGCTCTTAAACAGTGAAGACACTTCTGCCTCCTGGCCTCCCCTGCCAGCCAAAGTCACAGTGGTTTGCCAGTAGATTCTACTAAGGCATGCTAAATGCAAATTCAGAGCAATTTCAGGTTGGAAACACCACAACCATACTGTATATCTATCTCTAAGCCAGATGTTCCCAAGCAAGAATATAATCTCTAGGATATCTCAAGTTGTTTCCCACTGCTATTCCCCAAGTTTAAAAGGAGTTTCACCCTACGGGTAGTCCATTTACCTGGGATGAGGCTATACAAGCCAACTATAACTTTGTTTTGTTGTTTGGGGCTGGAATTCTATTTACTTCAGTGGTAAAAATTTCTTTCCAGTAGAAGTTCTGATGGACAGTTAATCTTTGATTCATTGGAAGAAACACAAAATGAATTCCTTAGTTCTTCCTAGTCATAACTAGTACTTCTGTAACTCATTACTTTTGGGAGTGGCTCAAAATAAAGCAACAGGGTGAAGGTGAGTGAATCGTCGTCAGTCAATACCTCCTACCTAAAAACTTAGGAAGCTCCATCTTCTGTTTCTCTGGAAGATATGAACAATACTAACAGCTTTAAAGTGCCCCTTACTTCACAATTTAACTGGTCTTGAGACTGAAAGACTTAAGCATGCCATGTCCTCAGGGTTGACTCTAGGATTTCCCCACAAGACACAGCAATTTCTTTCAACACTGAGTAGTGCTGAGCCCATCCACCAGGCATTGCTCCAAGTCTGAGTACACACAGAGTGGCAGAAAGTCCATCAGGAATCCACAGCCACCACGGGAACAGTATCTCTGATCAGCAAATACCTAATAACATCAGACTATATAGCCCTCTTTAAAGGACAGAATAGCATTTAATTTACAACAAATAAGGATCCAGGATATAGCTCAGCCGGACACACAATGGGGGCTCAGTAATTACTTGAAGGACAAATATAATCCAAATGGTCTAGCAAAATCTCAAGCCTGGAAGATAGTGGAAAAGGTGGCTGTCACATAGATAAAGCTGAGTGCTTTCATCTGAACACTGGAATCTGAGTCCTGGCTCTGGTTCACTTTATCTATGTGACCTTGGACATGTGATGTCAGTTTCCTCATCTGTAAACTGACTTCCCAAAAAGGATGGTAAGGAATAAAGGAGGGGAGGAGGGTCTTTCCTTACTATATGCAACAACCTAAGTCAAGGGTGGATGGAAAACTCCCATGAGAGGCCTGTGGCACCTGGCAACTGAGAAATCCCTTGTCAGATGCCAGCCGAGGCTGCCTGACTGTGTGTGAGGAGAAAGTAATCTGGGTCAGTATATGAAATGAATCTGGGTCAGTATGTAAAATCACTCATAATTTAAATGTTGCCAAGTGGGTCATTTTTTTCCCTAAGACTGTATAGAAGGGCACCGTTGGAGATTGCATGTGATCTATGGGTCTGTAATTTGTAAACCTCTGGCCTAGGCATCTCTAGGGGCCCTTGGAGGAATCTCATTTTTAGAAATGATCAGGCAGTATGGACAAATTTGCCTGTGAAGCTCCTCTCTCACAAGTCCAGGCTTGGAGGGGGCTCTGAAGGCTGTGGACAGGAAGGTGGCTTATCATACTCAGCACCTCTTCCAAGCGGGACCCAGAATTTCCTAAAGTCCCACCCAGCCTGTAGCCCAGGAATGGGTGAATGTAGCTCCTTATCCAGGGCTCAGGCCAGAGACCCAGATGCCATCCTTGCTTCCTTCTCCTGCTTCTCTGCCATACTGAGCCAGAGTGGTACTGGTGTCTGGATTCATTCTCTCTTGCTGCTCATGCTTGTCCTTTCCCTGCCTCAACCCTGCCTGTCCTGTGCCTCAGTTCCGATCTCCATCCTGTTGTCAGAACTACTTTCCCAACAAGGTTTGGGATCAGGGCATTTCTACAATATATAGGATGGCATCTCATCTCCACCTTTCCAAGACAGTTCCCATTCTTACCCTACTTTTCCCTCTCATCTCCCTTTTCACCTTTCCTGTTCCTCAAGGGATCCATCACTCCTCTTGTCCCAGAACAGAGTTCAAAACCTTTATAAATTGGCTGCTCCTTCTGAAATGCCAACCCTTGTTGTATGCCTGACAACCTCTGGGGCATTCTGCAAGCTCTGATATGGTGACATGGGACGCTCCTAAGTCTCCCTCTCCAGATCGAAGGCTAGGGACTCTTCCTGGGTGTGCTTGGCAGTGGTTTTAACATGCCACTGTTAAACCAATTATGTATGGTGTCTGTCCTTCACATTTCAATAGAAGCACTTTAAGGCATAGAGCATAACGTTTGATCTTTGTAACTCTCAGATGTCAAACATGGATGCCTGGAACACAGTAGCCAGCCCCGTGTTTGTTGCATGAATAAAATGAATGAAGCCAACCTTTTTTGATAAAGATCAAACCCAAACCAACTCCATCAATCAGCCTTTGCTCTTACTATTAGGTTAACCTAATGGTAAGATGAAGGCATTAAATGAAACTACAGGACCAAAAGCTAAAGTTCCCAATTCCTCTGTCCCCAGTCCTTTCCTTCTCTACCTCCCCACGTCTCTTCAGGGACAAAGCACCCACCAAGGCTGCCATCAGGGTTACACAGCAAATCAGTCACCAAGTGCCTCAAAGCCCCACAACACAGTGAATCTGTCAATGGTCTCTATTGTTAAATTCCAAACAAGAAGAGAAAGTACTTCTCTGCCAAATAAAAGGTTAATTGTTTGGAGGTGACTTTGAAGTTCAAAGATCCTTTTATCACAACTTGCAGATGGTACACCTACACAATAGGCATCATTTATCCTCCTATCCTACCTGGACATACTGGCTTTGGGTAGCCTCTGCAAGCACAGGGGTGGCTATGTTCTTTGTAATTGTAGCGAGACAGGAAGATCCTCCACCACTAAGAAGCTGGTTTTGGAAGCCCTAGTGCCAATAGCCACTGTTCATGTGTGGGCGCATGCACACCCTCCCCAGCCCTGCCTCTTCTGGGCCCATGCTGGCTGCTAGTTTCTAGATAACTCAACACAATAACAAACTGTATCCCCTACAGTTCTCCTCAGAGGAGAACCAGGGGAGGGTGTACTGAGAGTTCTAGGTTGTTTCTTTCCCAGGTTTGGGTTCCAATTCTACTACTAAGTTCAAGAACCCCCACCACTCTATAGTTTTTTGTTTTGTTTTGTTTTGGGGGGGGAGTCCAGCTGTGGGGCCTGAACTCTGGGCCTGGGTGCTGTCCCTCAGCTCTTCAGCTCAAAGCTAGCGCTCTACCACTTGAGCCACAGCGCCACTTCTGGCTTTTTTTCCTGCTTAGGTGGTGCTGAGGAATCAAACCCAGGGCCTCATGCATGCAAGGCAAGCACTCTCATTGAGCCACCTTCCCAGCCCCACTCTATAGTTTTTGTGGGGGGTTTTGCCCCTAGCAACTAGTTGCCAACGATGTAAGTGTCTGACATTTGCTGGAAACAGAAACAGTTCCCATCTCTGTCCCCTTTTACTCTTCCCCAGACCATCTTGTAACCCCCAAATTTCCTTCCCTACTTAACAACCAGACTTTTTAAATCCCGACAAGTGATTGATGGGACGATTAGTCCCGGTTCCCAGATTACAGACCCGGAATCCAGCCATTTCATCTTGTATCCCATTCCTTAACAAGGGTCTGAAACCTCCTCTCTCCACGTGGGAACGAAGCGAGGAACTGTAAGGGTGGGCAAGAACTGCACTGAAGGGCCACTGTGGACAAACTTCTTTTGTAGACTCTCTCCCCTCCCTTCTGATGCAACCAAGAGGAGGGGGCGGGCCCGCTCCGTCCCGGCTCCGGCGGGGCCGCTGCCACGTTCCCCGCGGGAAGCCACCCAGGCCGGGGTGTGGCAACGACCTCCACTCCGAGGTCCGGGGGAGGGGAGGAGGGGTGTCTGCAGACAACTTGGCCCAGGCCCGGCCGACCCCCGATCCCGGCTCCACACACTGTGATTTCTGCTTTCGCTTTGCGCGGGGGGGATCCAGCGTGGCTCCGGGGCCCGGGGTCCCCGCGGGCACCTGCGTCGCCCACCACCTCCCCCCACTAGCCGAGAGCGGCCCGGGCCGCGGCCTCACCCCAGCCTCTCCTTGCTCTCGTCCGGGGTGAGCTGATCGAAGGTCTTGGAGTCCTCCTTGCCCAGGAAGGCCTCGTGATCGTACTGGAAGCTCTGGTTGTCTTCGGGCGGCCGCTCGCCCAGCTCCGAGTCGGGCCGCACCACGCGCTCCTTGCGCACCGTGGGCTTGGCCCGCAGCGCCCGCGGAGCCAGCGCCAGGGCCAGCAGCAGCCCCAGGGCGAGCCCCAGGCGGCGGCCACGGACACAGCTGGCCATCGTCGTCCGGAGGAGCAGGAGGTGCGGAGCGACCCGACCCGAGCGGTGGCTCCGGAATGGGGGGGCTCGGAGCACGGGGGCCGGGCGGAGGGGGGGGCGGGCGAGAGGGAGTGGGGAGCCGGCTGGGGCGGGGCCCGGCTGCTGCAGGGCCCGCCCCGTACCCCGAGGAGGGGCGCGCCCCGCGCTGGCGCGGGGAGGCTGCGGGGGCCTCGCTCACGCGCCCATTGGCCGCTGCGCCGACGGCGGCCGCGGGGGAGGCCGGGGACCGCGGAGCCACGTCGCCCCGGGCCGGGGTGGTGGGCGTCCGGGGCTGGGGTTTCCCCTCGGCCCCGCCCCGCGATCTCACCCGCGAGGGGGCGGGCCCTGGACGAGCCGGGGCGGGACCCTGGAGCGCTCTCTGGGAAACCGGGAAGAAGTTCTTTGTCAAGCAACAGATGTTCCAGGATTAAAAAAAAAATCTCTTTATCCAGTTCCGGAGAAGTGTAAAGGCATCAGGCTTCCAACCCAAGACCCGGAACCTCGCTGCCATCTGCGCCCCAGATGAACTTTAAAGTCCACCCGAGTCTTTACTTTTGCACACTCTGAAGTCTGGTTTCGTGTACAGCCGACTGGAAGGGGACGGGATGGGCGTGGCGCCCCGAGGGCCAGGCTCCGGGTAAAGTCTGGCTTGGAGCTGACGGGGGTGGGGGAGGGTTGAGAATCCGTTCCCCCCAGGACGTCCCAGCAGCCAGGGGGAACGCAGGCCTAGGGCCTAGACCGTGCAGATAATTTGGTTTTGGGTTTTGTTCCCCCCCCCCCCCAAAGCAATCGAAATCTCACATCTGTGAAATCATTCCTGCCTGTAGATTGATGCTTCCAGTAGAAGTTCTGTGCCTGATGATGGAAATGTTCTCTCCCTGGGATGTTCTATACATATTAAGCACCCTGCCTTGGACAAGGAGCTTAACAGAGGAATTGTATTTTCAGTTTTAACAGCCTCACGTGGCTAGTGACGGTCATATTGGACAGTGGAGCTGTTGGCCCTTTTCTAGAAAATGCATACACAGCTCCAAAGTGTCAGGGGGCTAAAGGGACTTCTGAAGTTCTAGTTAAGGGTCCCTAAAACAAAAGGTGGTCAAAGAGAGAAGAGCTGGGCCCCCAGTAATATCCTCCATCTTCTGGTCACCTCACCCACCTTCCTGACTGTGCCGCCTACCTTTTTTTGGGGGGGGAGGTCGGTCGTGGGGCCTGAATTCTGGGCCCGGGCGCTGTCCCTCAGCTCTTCAGCTCAAGGCTAGCGCTTGAGCCACAAGCCACTTCCGGCCTTTTCTGCTTATGTGGTGCTGAGGAATCAACCCCAGGGCCTCACGCATGCGAGGCCAGCACTCTACCACTGAGCAACCTCCCCAGCCCCAACCTTCTGCCTTTTTGAGAAGCCAGTTAAGGCATTGCCAATATCAACATAGATGTAAAGATTTTTTTTTTGTCAGCCATGGGTCTTGAACTCTGGTCCTGGGCACTGTCCCTCAGCTCTTCAGCTCAAGGCGAGTACTCTACCACTTGAGCCACAGTGCCACTTCCAGTTTTCTGGTGGTTAATTGCAGATAAGAGTCTCATGGAGTTTCCTGCCCCAGCTGGCTTTGAACCATGACTTAGAACCGTGATCCTCAGAGCTCAGCCTCCTAAGTTACAGGCATGAGCTCAGCCTCCTGATTATAGGTGTGAGCCACTGGCACCCAGCTCAAAGATCTTTCTTAGGACAACCGCTTTCAGTTTATTCACAAATGATTACTGTGGGCCTATCATGTCCTGAGCACTCAACATTCAATGGGGGAAGTAAGACAGCTATGCTCTGTACAGAGTTATAGCTTCTAGGTGGTTGTTCATTTATCCTGATGTTCATTTGTTCATCCATACAGTAAACAGAATACCTGCCCAAATGGCAAATGAATGTGACAAGCGATCAGAGAGGAAGGCAATCAGGACTAAGGGGCAATGTTAGAGGGACAGGTCTCAGACTTAGAGACCACTCACTCAGGGAATGCTTGCTGGAGTAAGGAATATCTGAGACTAGAGGTAAGGGGTATAAACTGGAGGCAGGAGTGGGAATGTGAGTGTGGCTAGGGGAGAGGGTGAGGGCAGTGGAGCTGACCTGATGCCCTTGTACCTTCCAGGCTGTAAGACCTTCCGATGGAGCCCGTGGCACCTCACCTGACCTCAAGTGGACTTGAGTTAAAGAGTGCGCTATTTAAGGCCTCCTTTGACAGTCTAGAGACTAGGATTTCTACCAAAGAAGAACATTACTTTTGGTGTGTTAGAACTTCAAATGTCCTTCAATAATGGGCTTATCTGGCAAGCAGGATTTGAATTGGGAAGAGGTAGGAGGATTTATAGGGAGGGGTGAGGCTAGAAAAATAAAAGGATTTGGTAGGGAATGGGAAGGTGTGTGCTTATTTGTAAGTTTTTGCCAGGGACTGGCCTGACTCACTGGGATTGATGTGGACTATTAAGAACGACGGCAGGCATGTCCTGTTCCTTGTTATATTTGATTTCCTGCCAGACACAAGTGGTTTCCAACAGATTGTCTCAGAGGTAGTCTTGGCTCTTGAGGGAATTACTGGAGAATCCCAGCACTGCTGTGAATACAGAAGTATTGATGTAATTTCCCCTGGGCTTGCTTATGCTCTCTCCCCTCTACACTCCCTGAAGAGCTCAGTAAGTCCTCTCAACCAAAAGATCAGGAAAGGTGATGATACAAATAGTCAAGGTATTGCACAGACTAATTGCTCTTTCATTTCTCCCCTATGCCAGAATGGTGAGACTAATTGAATACATTGTCATCTCTTAGTATAACTTTCTTTCTTTATTATTATTTTTTAATGCCATTATGGGGGCTTGAACTCAGGAACTGAACCCTATCCTTTAGCCTTTTCAGTGAAGGCTGGCATTCTACCTCTTGAGTCACACCTCCACACTCAGTGTTTTTGGTTAATTGGGGATAAGACTCTCAGGGACTTTACTACTTGGGCTGGCTTTGAACCCCAATCCTCAGATCTCAGCCTACTGAGTAGCTAAGATTTTAGGCTTGAGCCACTGGCAGTGGCCAGTGTAACCTCCATTCATGATAATGAGGAAGAGAGGGAGTTATCTGTAGCAGTGGGTGGAACCAGTACAAAAGGAAAACAGGTTTCCAATAAGTGAATCAATAGGTATTCAAATCTGCTGAATTGGACTACAGGTAACATGATCAAAATTCCATCCCAAAGGTTACTTAAGGCAATGGGAAAACTTTATCATCTTATGTAAAAGTCTTCAGTTATATCAACTTCAGTTTAGTTCTTGTGACTTGAGGCACATCAAGGAATCAGGATTTTTGGTTTTGGTTTCCTCTCAACAGCCCGGAACAAAGCAGTGTTTTTTCCCTGTATTGGGGGCGGGGACAAAAACAAAAAACATTTTTGCATCAGCCTTCTCTTCACATCTCAATGGCAGAATGGTATCCCATGCCTGCACTGGATCTGATGACAGGCAACTGAAATGCAAAGTCCCAGGGGTGGGGAACATCTGGCCTGACCTCAAAATCATTTGGTACTGATGGTCAGGATAGAGACAGACACAAATGCTTCTAATATTCTTCTCATAGGCTTCCCATGGCCCATTTTCCTGTATGTATCAGGAGAACCAAACCTCTGGCCTGCACCAGATGGAGGCATGCAAAGAGAGAACTTAGGGAGCAGAGGGGAGGGAGGAGAATTAGCTAGGGGAGGGTGAGAAGGAGGTTTAAATGGAGTGGATGAGGAAGTGCTCTCAGAGCCTGGGAGGCCTCCCACTGTCCCCAGGTATGCCAGTTACCAGGGTTATAGGTTCTGGGCAGGGACTTCGAGGAAGGGCCAAGTGCTCATGCATGGAGAGAGAACAAAGGGAAAGGGTCATTTTCCCCTGGCAGACCTAACACCACCCAGTCTATGGTATTTTGTTATAACAATCTGAATAGACTGAGACTTCAGTGCAAAATAATACATACTGATGATTTTGTATAGCCTGTGAGTGATGTTATAAATATCTAGATGTCCCTTGGTAGACCAAAGGTTCCTCATTCCTGACTGGGGCTGGAAAATACACAGCAACCTCCAGAGCAAAGAACACGGGGATGGCAGTATATGCCAGCGGGAAATGTAATTCACTGCTTCTGTGTGTGGGTTTAAAAGCACTTTCTGCATCTCTGCCTCCTTCGACTGCTCCATTATTCAAAATCATAAGAACTCTTCCAGCCCCAACTCAGCTGTCACTTTCTCCATGATGTTTTTCCTTATGCCTTGAATCAGAATCAATTACTTCTTCAAAATGCCCAGAGCTTTTGTATCTCACACATAACGTTTTTCACAGTCTGATTTGTACTAACAAATTTGCTTCAGTCCTTCCTAATTCTGAAGTCCCTTAAAGGAATGATCCCGTATAATTCATGTCCTTGCTTATAAATCTAGGGACTTGCATATTTACTGCTGTCTTACAGAAATTGGTTACCACAAGATAAATTTACCATGAGTCCAGAGATCAAATCCTTTTTGGTTCACCACTGTATACCAATGACCCAGTACAGGTGCCCCAATTATATTTATGTGAGTAATCAAGTCATAATAGGTACCAAATTTCTGCTTCTTCTCAAGACTGAGTAAGGGAAGGGTATTTGAGACAAATAGACATAAAGAAAAAAGGGAAAGAAAGAAGAAAGGAAGGAAGGAAAGAAGGAAGAAAGGATTTTCAAGATGCTAGGTACCAAGCAATGAAGGAAACTTTGATATAGAATGTGAGTCCAAGATTGGCACTAGTAGCTCATGCCTGGAATCCTAGCTACTTAGGAGGCTGAGCTCTGATAATCATAGTTGAAAGCCACCCCAGGCAGATAAATCTTACATACTATTGTATCCAATTAACCAGCCAAAAGCCAGATGTGGAAGTGTGGCTCAAGTGGTAGAGCACCAGTCTTGAGTGAAAAAGCCAAGCAGGCATGAAAGGCCCTGAGTTCAAGCCCCAGTATCAACACAAACATAAAAAGAAAAAACGAAAGAAAAGAAGTCATCCTGTGATTA